GATGAGACAGGAACCCCCTTGCAGGCATTTGCTACTTTTGTTTTCTATCTGAATATTTGCCTGGATCCCACCCTGATTTATTATTTGTGAACTACCCAGTCAGAATTGGATGGTGTCCAAATTGAATAAAACAAATAACATATAAATAAAAAAATAAAATATCCATATTCAGATGAAAGTGGTACAACCTGCTCTTTTTCCCCCTCACCTATTTTTACTTTAGAATTCAGAGAAGTAATCAAAAATGGCTTAGAATAAAATATCAATCAACACAAGTAAAAACTGTTATAAAAATATGCAGAATAAAACCTGATAGATTAAATATAGTAGAGTTAAAAATGGAATGCAAATGACATTGGATTAAAAATAGAATTTACTACATAAAAGGACGCCAAAGCACTTTGAATTATGCAGACAACTAGAGGCATCTTATTTTGAAGCATATCAAATCTGAAATGGCTGTTTTTTATGATATAATATAGGCCAGTGGTGGCGAACCTATGGCACGGGTGCCAGAGGCGGCACTCGGAGCCCTCTTTGTGGGCACACGTGCCGTTGCCCCAGCCTTGCCTCCCCCCATGACCCCCTCCTCTCCAGCAGCCCCCCTGAAGGAGACTCACCCTTGAGCGTGGCCCACACGGAGCAGCGCAGCCAAGGACATGGCAGCAGGCAGCGTAGACAAGACTCTGCCCTCACACCCCATCATGCAGTTGATGCTGCAGGGCGTGGGCAGAGGGCGTGGCCGCCATAGCGCTGCTGGGCTGCCTGGGCGATCTGCGGTGGGCCCTGGAGGCGGTGAGTGGTCCTGTGGGCAGGTGGGGCGGGGGATGGGGGGGCAGAGCGGGGGCGGGCAGGTGGGTGGAGCGGGGGCAGGGCCAGTTTTTGGGCACTCGGTCTCTAAAAGGTTCGCCATCACTGATATAGGCTGTTTCAAGTGTTTTGAAAATATTTCACTCTGTAAATTATTGTTCCAAGTTCAAAATGCTGCCAGAATGTTCAGTACAGCAGTTTTGATCTCAGAATGGGAAATTTCATCCTCAAAACAGTTTGAAATCATATGTGTTTTACACACCCTTCCTGGAAAATTATTGTATTTAAAAGCTGGCGCTATCTTTTCCTTCTATTTGGTCTGGCGTCACAAGTTCTTAGCTGCTGTCCAGGATTAGGTTAAGATGCTTAGAGTGCTCCAGATTAAATTGGAGTTCATTAGGATGAAATACTGTGTCCTTTTTCAAGCATGTAAAGTTGAAAGAGAGATATAAATTGATGGCATTATTAGACTACATCTTTCATGTTCTGAAATGGATAACATGACATTTTATAAAGTCTTGGAATGTTCCTTATGTTATAATCGCCTCAGGCAGTGATTTTTGCATAATTATGTAGAAAAAGTTAACAGAGCTTAAAAGCAATCCCCTATTTTAATAATTGTCTTGAAAACTCCTTAGGCAGAAAACAAAACAGGCTGTCAGTGAAAATTAATTCTGGAGTTGGGGGCAATAGACACCAGTCCTTTCTAATGCTGATTTCTACATTAGGTATTGAAGAAATATTAATTTTATAAAAACTGCTCAGATCGGGTAAGATGTAGGAAGCACTCCTTCAAACATCAGTGAATTTAAACAAATCTAAGCACACCATTGTCTCTCAGCCTTGCTTGTGTGGCTCAGTCTAGGAGTATTTAACCTACTTTACAGAGCTTGATAGAAGGGCTACGGTGAAGCAATATTTAGCGATCCTCTCGTTGTTCAGCGAGTGCAAAACTTAAGAAGAGCTTCTGTGCTAATATTACCTTTTCTTTTTTCAAAATACCAGTAGGTGATCCTTACTGAAATTAATTCAAGAGCATCTAGGCTCTCCATTTTGCGGGGGATGTCCAACCCTTGCAACTCAGCCTTCTTTACTTTGGATGGAAATTATCAACCCTCCCCAGCCAATTCTCCCATTCTGGATGAAAGATGCTGATCTAGTTGTATAAAGGAGTAATAATTCCCCACCCACCCAAGCTAGAAAATGCTCTGAAATCTATGAAAGGCCAGGTAAATCTGGTACTTCTCAGGTCACCTGTTGCCCTGTTCCTGAGCCACCAAACCCAACTGGGCTCTGCTACGTACCGCAGCCGAGGCAAAGAAGTAACACAGCTTGGTAGAAGAGCTTCACTTTGGTGACAGGACCCATAATGTGTGGCTTCACCTCTCTGGAGCCTCTTCACTGACTCCTCTGCATCTCACTTCCTTTTCTTCGTACACCAATATATATTTCCTCCCAACATTCTTAGTTCTTCCAACTTCTGCTTTGGCCTTCCTTTGTGCAATCTCTATCTGAAGTATTTCTAAATCACTTCCTGTGGTATATTGAGCACCGGAGTGGTTATATGGCCCCTTTTTCCTCCTGACCAGAGTATGCTTAATGCTATAGGCCGACGATGGCAGACCTATGACATACGTGTCACAGGTGACACGGCAGGCTATTTTTTGGTGACATGGCAGGCTTCTGGACCCTCTGGAAGTCACTCAAGAGGGCCCTGCTTGTGTGGCCTCTGAGGTCTCCAAAAATTATGTGAGCATCCTTGTGCAGCTTTTGGAGTTTCTAGAGACCCTACGAGAGCAGGACCCTCTCATGCGATTTTCAGAGTCCAGAGAGGAGGTCCTGAGAGGTCTCCATTGTCCGGTCTTTGTGTTTCAGTGTGTGTGATACAGCAGCAGAGGTCAAGGTAGGCATTTTCTAAATTTTTGACATGCCGAGCCAAAAAGGTTTGCCATTACTGCTATACAGTAGGCGAACCCAGTGGGCAGTGCTTCCTGGGAGGGACAACTAAATTCACAGGAAACAAAAAGCTAACCTTCCAAGAATAAAGCTATAAAGGAATAATCAATCACAGAAATTTTCACAGAAATTCTATGAAGATACCATGAGATATGGTTCATCTCTCCAGGAGAGTGGGGGGAGGGATAAGAACCACCAGGACCATCTCTCAAATTGAGGTTCCTATCCCCTTCCTGATCCATTCTATTTTTTTTTAAAAAAAACTCATCTATCTACCTCTAGCTTGCTTCATTAGACACAGTAAAGGATCGATTGCTCAAATAATTTGCCAGTTTCCTTCCTGTGCCAATGAGCTGGCTCAAGTTGAATTTTAAGAAATATGGATTTCAAGATGGTTACCAAACATTTCCATCAGATTGCCTACAACTTGTTTAGTCATAAAAATATTAATCTTTTCTTTAATCTGATAGAATCATTCTGTCTTATCAGCAGATCTTTTGATATTATAAAAGAATCCATACTGAAGGCTTTTTTGAACTTGCAAAGAATCCCTTAAGGCAGGAGTGGACGACTATGGTCATTTACAATCCGTGGACTTCAATTCCCAGAATTCCTGAGCCAGCCATGAATTCTGGGAGTTGAAGTCTACAGGTCATAAAGGGCCTGTCTTAAGGGAATACTCTTGAGGCATCCATTTTACTTAACCATTAATATCTTGCTACAATAGCAGATTCTACCTCAGTTGCCATAAATTTGCTGAGTCCATCCAGAGAACTATTTAGAGCGATGTTCCCAAATCTGAAATTTTATTTTTAAGGAATCTTTTGAAAAGATAATTTCCTTTCTATAAATCTAACGACACAGCTGTTCATGTGTAATTGATGTGACTATATGGCTGTAAACCAGGGGTCTTCAAACTTGGCCCTTTTATGACTTGTGGACTTCAACTCCCAGATTTCCTCAGCCAGCGTGCCTGGCTGAGGAATTCTGGGAGTTGAAGTCCACAAGTCATAAAAGGGCCAAGTTTGAAGACCCCTGCTGTAAACTAAGCAAGCCTGAGTATAAAATATGTTGATTTTATTCTAGGCCCATTAGGCTAGTCATCTATCTTTTTTGTGTTTTTAAATCTGTGTATTTATCTATTAAAAAACATTTTCCTTGTTTAATGAGCTCTGGACTGGTGAGTAGCAGAAGCTTCAATTATCACATGATAAGCTTAAAAACGCTGGGCTGAAAGAAACTATCTGAGGTAGTCCTCGACTTACAACCATTCATTTAGTAATGGAAAAGTCTTATTTTCCACCAACAATCACGTTGACTGCTGCAGTTGATATGAAGCATGTGATCCTACCAGCTCTGGTTAATGAGCCATGCCCAAGTAATCCTGCCTCCATACAGATAATCCTGAATTTACAACCATTTGTTTAGTGACGATCCAAAGTTACAATGGCACTGAAGAGTGACATATGACTGTTTTTCACACTTAGGACTGTGACAGCATCCCCATGGTCCCGTGATCAAAATGTAGACCCTTGGCAACTGGCATGTATTTATGACGGTTGCGGTGTCCCAGAGTCACATGATCCCCCTTTTGCGATCTTCTGACAAACAAAGTCAATGGGGAAGCCAGATTCACCTAGCAACCATGTTACTAATTTAACAACTGCAGTAATTCACAAGAAAGGTCGTAAAATTGGGCAAAATTAACTTAACAACTGTCTTGTTTAGCAGCAGAAGTGCTGGGCTCAATTGAGCTCCTAAGTCGAGGACTATGTGTAGAAGATTATTTGTATCTGGCAACCGTTGTTGTTGATTGCGAAGTCGTGTCCGACCCATTGCGACCCCATGGACAACATTCCTCCAGGTCTTCCTGTCCTCTACCATCTTCTGGAGTCCATTTAAGTTCACGCCTACTGCTTCAGTGACTCCATCCAGCCACCTCATTCTCTGTCGTCCCCTTCTTCTATTGCCCTCAATCTTTCCCAGCATTAGGCCCTTCTCCAGGGAGTCCTTCCTTCTCATTAGGTGGCCAAAGTACTTGAGTTTCAACTTCAGGACCTGGCCTTCTAAAGAGCAGTCAGGGTTGATTTCCTCTAGGACTGACCGGTTTGATCGCCTTGCAGTCCAGGGGTGTCATGCCTCCGTCCGAGCCTGACTCTGAGGACGACATGGAGTTCCCTGTTGAGGCCCAGGAGGGGGTGTCTGTGGCTTCGGAGGACTGTGGGGAGGAACAGGCTGAAGCAGGCCAGGGCCCTTCAAGTTTGGAACAGGGAAGGCAGAGCTCAGGCGAGGAGCAAGGCCCCTCCCCACCAGATCCCAGAGCAAGGAGAGCAGAGAGGAGGAGGGAACAACGGAGGCAGGCTCACTTGCTCGGGAGGAGAGCGTCACTCCCCACTTCACAAGGCACACCTGGGGAATAGGTATTTAAGGAGACGCTGTGGGGTGGGGCATTTGCCGGGAACAAACGTGAACTCTTGTGATGTGAGCTCTTGTACCTGGACTCTTTGTATTTTGGATCTGTTTTACTTTAAAAAACTGTTGAACTCCGTTGACTGTTTTATTGAACTTGTGCCAGCATATGTGGGGGCTGTTGGGTGAACGTTAGTGCTTACAAAGACAATTATTCTGACCAGCTAATTGCTTTGCCTCCGTTCAGGGCACTGGGTCATCACATTTTGTTCCCGGCCCACTCCCAATTGCTCCTCCAGACCAAGTAGGGCGACCATGGATTAGCTCCGTGCAGAAAATGATCAGCTAAAACAGCAGGTGGCCCTCCTGACTGCACAGATGGCACAGATGCAAGCAGCTCGGCCACGCCGCAGAAACCCTGTTCCAGTGCCAGACAAGTTTGATGGCTCACAGGCACGATTCCCATCGTTCTTTGGGCAGTGCCAGTTATGTATGAGCCTTCGGCCGGAGAATTTCCCCACTGACCGGGATAAGGTGGGGTTTGTGCTAAGCCTGTTGACAGGAACGGCAGCACGTTGGGCAACACCCCTGCTGACCCAGCCCAATCAGCTGCTGGACAATTATGCAGAGTTTTGTCGGCAACTCAAGGCCATGTTTGAGGACCCAGTTATGGCCCAGACTGCAAACCGTCGGGTGAGAGAGTTGCGACAGGGGCGTGGTTTGCTGACAGACTACATTGCTACGTTTCAGTTGGTTTGTCAGGAGCTGCAGTGGAACGAGGCGGCGCTTATGGACCACTTTCAGGAGGGACTTTCGTCCGAACTCCTGGATGAGCTGGCACGCACTGAATGCCCTCGCTCCTTGCAGGGGCTCATGCACCTGTGTCTCTGTATCGATGCAAGACTCCAGCAGCGACGGGCGCGACGACGGACGGAGGCCTTGCCCGCACCTGTTAAGACAGTGGCACCGTTGGCACCGCCTCCGGAGGAGCCAATGCAGTTGGGGGCTGCACGACCCCGTCTGACCCAAGCCGAAAAAGATTGCCGCCGCCGTGAAGGCCTTTGCCTGTATTGTGGCGGTCCAGGCCATATGGCGGCCAAGTGTCCTGTGAAGGCACCCAAAGCAGCGGCGGGAAACGGGCCGGGCCCGGCCTAGAGGGCTCTGTAGGCCGGGCTCACTTGGACACGGGTCCAGTACCTCCTCCTCAGCAGACTCTTGTTAAACACCTTGTGTTACCAGCGACTGTGTTCGTGCCTGGTCAGGGAGCAGTGGAGGTCCAGGCCTTGGTGGACTCTGGGGCTACTGCTAATTTCATGGACTCGGATTTTGTCGTGCAGTGGTCCATTCCCCAGCAGCAGTTGTCACCGCCAGTCTTGGTGGAGACGATTGATGGGCGGCCCCTTCATTCCAGCCCAGTGGTTGCTGCAACCAGACCCCTTCACATGCGTATTGGGCCGCATATGGAAGAAGCCGTGTTCTATGTGGCTACCGTTTCTCACTTTCCTGTGGTGTTGGGTTTGGAATGGTTGAGGGCTCATGATCCGCAGATTATTTGGTCGTCTGGGACAGTGCGGTTCCCCGGCAAGAAGTGTGCCACCCATCACCTGCATGTCTGCACAGGGAAGGTGGCTACCCCTGTGGACCTGGACCTACCAGCAGAGTTGGGGGATTATGCCGATGTCTTTGGGGAAAAAGAGGCAGATCAGTTGCCCCCGCATCGGTCTTATGACTGCCCGGTTGATTTAGTGCCCGATGCCAAATTGCCGGTTGGCCGGATTTACTCTCTGTCGGAACCGGAATTGGCAGCTTTGAGGGACTTCATTGACAAGAATCTCCAGAAAGGGTTTATACGGCCTTCCACCTCCCCGCTGGCTGCTCCAGTGCTCTTCGTGAAGAAGAAGTCAGGGGAGCGTAGACTGTGCTGTGATTACCGGAAACTGAATGCCATCACGATCCGTAATCGGTACCCACTCCCGCTCATCCCCGAACTCATCGAGAGGCTC